GGGCTCGGCTGCGGCTGCGGGCTGGCGCTCGCCGGTCTCGGGCTCCGAGGCTGCGCTGGCGGCTCCGGGCGGCGGCAGAGAGACCTTGAAGGGGGCGGCGGTGCCGGCGGGCGTCGCAGGAGCGGCAGCCGTAGGGCCCGGGGCCCCGGCGGGGTAGTGGGTGCACACGCTGCTGTAGAGCTGCATGTCCCTGGCCGCCGCTCGGCCCTTATAGGCGCGGCGAGGCCCCGCGCTGGGGACACACCCTCCGGTCCGGGCCGCGCGCTGACCCCGCGCCCCGAGAATAGAAATGACCCAACGGCCGCCGGCAGCCGCGCGTCAGGAGCCGCAAATAGCGCCCGGGGCCTGGCCCAATTCCTGCTGCGCCACAGCGCGCTGGGGGAGGGGAGGAGGAGGACACGCGCCCCGTCCGCAGACCCGGGCGCCACGCCCGCCGCTGCCGCTTCGGCTCCGGACACCGTCGGAGGAACCCGCCCGCGCCTCCCGAGCGCGTCCCGCCGGCGAGCGGCAGAGCAGGGCGCGCGGGGCGCCGGGGGCGGGGCCGCGCTTGTTTACCTCAGGCCGCGCGTCCGCATCACGTGGCCCCGCAGGAATGCGCGGCTCGTGGAAGCGCCCATTCAAGTGCGCGGACTCGCCCCGCCCCTTCCCCTGGGCCCCGCCCCCTCCGAGACGTTAAGGGCGTGGCGCACGGTTAGCGCGCGGCCGGGTCGGACGGGGTTCTCTACGGGGTCTAGGAGCATGCGCAGTTTGGAGACGCCCGGCTGCTGGCCACGTGAGTGCTGCAGACCGCTTTACCTACCTGAGCCACAGGTTTCTGGGCAGAGTCACTGTTTGCTGTTGCGAGGCGCCTTGCCGGTGTAGGCGCTGCCTGGGTAGGCATTAATGCGTGGAGAACTTGCATTTGTAAGAAAGGTTCCGGGCTAGGCATGGAGGACTGGGTGCTTTTAAACCTGGACCGCCTTTGCAAGGCTGCGGGGTCCCTATTCCCGCCCGTGTTGGTCACTGCCCACTTTATGGTTCAGTTCTTTGGAATCAAACGTTTAGGCCTCTCCTCTCTAATCCTTCTGCCCTGCTAAGTGAAAACCAGCCTTTCTACACCCGTAATTCGTGTCAATGCGAAAATACACAGCAAAAGAAAGGCCTTTCAGGCAGCCTTTCTCAGGTCCACCAACACCATTCAAAACACCTTGAATATAGGTGCAACTGCTAAGCATGGGTCACAGGCAGCTGAGGTCACAGCCTCCATCCTGGGGCAGGGTGCACATAGAAAACACTGAATTCTGGTGATCTGTGTGTAAAGGAAGCTCAGAATATTCACCTGATAGCTTTTGCTATATTCGGAGTTTTGACTGATTACAAAATGTACTGGCACTAAACATTGAAGTTAGAGGTTATTGCATTGTTTTAGAGATGGGGTTAGGGTGTCCCCGACCCAGGATGTCAGACAAGTGACAGGAAGACTGCCTTGTTCTGTATTGCATTTCTATCCCCAGGCACTGTGCCTGGCACATCACTGTTTACTGAAGGAAAGAATGGATATCTAGATGAGAGAAGAAGTCAACAAAAACAAGTTTGGAGAGTTACTCAGACTAAATTCAGGAGAAGTTACAGGACTAAGCATCTTTTCAAATTCAAGTGACTATTTGCTGGGAGTTGTACCACCCACCCTCCACCCCCAGTGCTAACTAGAAAAGGAAAATTAGATTTTGCCCTCAGCTGGCCTTAACCTTTCAGGAAATGGGATTCTGAAACAAGAAAATACTCTTTAAGAGCAAAGCCATTGTCAACTAGGTATGGTGGCTTGCGCTTGTAATCCTGTTCATTCAGTGGCTGGGGAAGGTGGGGCTGGGGACAGCTAGTTCAGGGCTACGCAGCCAGTTTGAGAGTATCTAGAATATAAAGACCCTGCCCCTCTCAGAAAAACTCACTAAAATAAATAATCCTCAAGTAATATTTACTGAATACTCAATGTATGCCTAGTAGTCTGATTTCTGTGTATCTGAGATACACAATTTAAAGGAGCAAGAATTTATTTTGCTGTGGTTGGCTGACTCCAAGGCAGAACTGTCATAGCAGAGGGGCACAGTAGGAAAGAAGTCCACCTTCTGCTAACTGGAAGCAGAGAGGGCAAGAGAGAAGGAGAGTCCCAGGGTGAAGAACAGCCTTCCAGGTAGCATCCCCTGTGACCTGCCCCTTGAGCAGGCCCTTTCTTCTAAGAGCTCCTTCCGCTCTGGATCTTTAGCTGTGCCACCTTCCTGTCCTCAATCCAGTCAAAATATTTGCCTTTCACTGTCATTTTGACTCTATTGGGGTACTAGGAATTGAACTCACCACTTCACACTTGCCAGGCAGGCACTGTGCCACTGAGCTATATCCCTGGCATCATTTTGGCTTTAGAGAAGAACCTGAGATTATGCAGTCTCAGCTCTATGAACAAGGTGAGCAAGAACCACTGCCATGTTCCTAGGAGCCTTCTCTCTGTCCAATGGTGCTGAGTAGCAGCATCTACTATATTTTTTTATCACACATTCTAGACAGAAACAAGGACTTCCAGAACTACTTCATAATGTGGCAACAATGACAGGATATGTGTATTTGGAGGAACAGGGAAGTGTTTTGAGGGTAATTAATGGCAATGTGTCTTTTACTGTAGAAATAATTAAAATTTATTCTCTGTATTTTGATCGCACCACATACACCTATATATAGTCGGTTTCCAATGTCCAGCCTTCCCCTCCCTCCAAACCAAAACTTTAAAAATCTCGAACATTCATCCATTTACTCATTCTTGAATTATGTCTTTATAAACCTACTGTGGAAAACAATTTTGAAAAATAACATGTGCTGCAATTTCAAAACTTGCTACAAAGCTTGTTATCAATTCTATATGCTATTGTCTTGAAAATAAGCATACAGTTCAATGGAATAGAATTGGCAGGTCATACATTAGTTTACACATGTATGGTCAATTGTCCTTTGGCAGCATTCAAAGGAAAGTCATTGGAGAATAATTTTTCCAACGAACTGGTAGCACAACTTAATATCCACCGAAACAAAAGAAATTGGACCTTCTGTCTTATAATAATAGGCACAAAAAATAAAAGCCAAAGTGCGAGAGTTACAACTATAAAAATCATAGAAATAGTCTCCATGATCATGACAAAGGTGATAGTGTCCTAGATACAACACCAAAAGCAAACAGTATAAAACATAAACTAACCATCAAAACCAAAAACTTTTGTACCTCAAAAGATGCTATAAATAGACAATCTAAATAAGAAAATATATTTACAAATCATATATGTGATAAAGGATTTATGCCTACAATATATTGTATAAAAAATTTCATAACATAGGAAATAACTCAGTTGTTTAAAATGAGTAATTAATTTGAAAAGCTATTTTTCCAAACAGGTATACTTACAGCCAATAAACATATGTGAAGAAATGCAAATCAGTTATAGTGTGCTATGCATTATATCTGTTAAGGTGGCTATAATAAAATAAATGCATCATAGCACACATTTGCAAAAAAAGTGGAGAAATCAGAATTCTATGTGTATATTGCTTGGGGGATTTGTAAAATAGTCCATTTATGTTGGACAGCAGCTTAACAGTTCCTGAAAAAGTCACTCTATTAGTGCCTTTTTCAGTTGCTAAAACAAAATACGAAAGACTGGATACTTCATAAAGAAAATATGTTTATTAACACAGTTCTTGAGATTCCAGGACAGCCCCATATCTTTGCAGATCTGCTGAAGGCTTTATTCACAATGGGCGACACCACTCATGATGGGCGAACTTTATAGACACACAGTCACGATGTCAGGAATGCATGTGGGAGGCGGTCATCAAAGGGCCTGATGGGAAGCCAGCGTGAGACAAGGAACAGACAGTAAGAGCCTTCTTTGAGGTCATACCTCAAAGATCCTGCCATGTCTCCATATCACCAAACTGAGGTCTGAGATTCTAGCACATAAAGTCTTGGGGAACAAACTCAAACCACATCTAAAACGTAACAGTTATACATAGAATTGCTATCAATCCAACAATTCCACTCCTAGGTATATAACCTAAAGAAATTAGAACAAATGTCTAAACCAAAACCTGCATATCAGTGTTCATAACAACATTATTCATTATACCCATTAAAGTAGAAATAGTTCACATATCCATTAACTAGCTGGGCATGGTTGTGCATGCCTATAATCCCAGCACTTGGGAGACTGAGGCAGGAGGATCGCAGTGAGTTTGAGGCCAACCTGGGCTAAGTGAGTTCAAGGCCAGCCTGAACTATATAGTGAGTCCCTGTCTCATAACAAAACAAAAATATCCATTAATTGAAGACTGGATAAGCCAAATATGGGTGGTATACTCATAAAATAGAACATTATTCAGTCATAAGCAGAATGAAGTATGTACTGATACATACTACAATATGAATGCAACTTGAAAACATGTCACACTGAAAGGAATGAGATGCAAAAAGCTACATATTGTGTAATACCATTTATATGAAGTGCTCAGAAGAGGCAGCTCTTTTGAGTTCAAAAATAGTGGCAGGAGTCAGGAAGTAACGCAGTGAGTACAAATGGATAAAGGTAGGTTTGGGGAGTAATGAAGAGTTTTTTGGGTTTTTTTGTTTTGTTTTGGTTTGGTTTGGGGTTTTTTTTTTTGTATTTTTAGGGAAGGGTCTACAGGGTGTTCAAGGTCTCACTACTAGATCAGACTCATAGTGATCGCCTGTTTACAGCCTCCCAAGAGCTGGGATTATAGGTGTGCACCACCACTCCCAGTCTCAATTGCTGTCTCAGTGCACCCTGGGGGTGGGGCCACATGGCAGGCCCAGGGGTCGAACCCCAGCCCCTGTGCCTGCTTGCAGGTGTTTTAATCCACTGAACTGTTTGGCTGGCCCTAAGAATTTTTAAAAGTTTAAGTTATAGTAAAAGTTGCACAACCCTTAGGATATATTAAAAACCACTATATTATACATTTTATAAGGACTAATTGCCAGACATAGTGGTATACCTCTGTAATCTCAGAACTTGGGAGGGTGAGGCAGGAAGACTGCTGTGAGTTCAGGGCCAGCCTGAACTGCAAACTGAGTTCAAGGCTACCATAAGCTGAATAGCAAGACCGTGTCTCAAAAAGACCAGGAAAAAGGACCAATTCTGAGGTATGTGAATTCATCTAAATAAAAGATGTTTAAAAGCTACTGTAAGGTGGAATTTATCCTGTGCTTGAGCTAAAAGATGATCATATATTTTATCCATAAATATCTCAGCAGCAGTAAGAATGACATTACTACATAAATCATGTTTTCACATCTTAGTGATTTTTCTAATGAATTCATGTACTACTACTATAAAGAAGTTATATTTTATAGAAACCAAATTATTTGTGTCCAGGTTTAAAGGGCTATTTAAGAAGCTGAACCAGTGACAAGCTATTTTACAAAATTTAAAAATAT